CTGTGGGTCCCGTCAGCCCAGGTTCAGGAGGGCCTTCCCTGCTCCTGCCTTCTAGAACATCCCCTTCAATGTGAGGTTGGCCCCAACCCTTCTATCTTTTCGTAAGGGTTTAAAGACCTGCCTCTGCAAGTTGGCTTGGGGCCCCAGTGGGGGAACACTGTTGATCAAGTAACAACAGATCCCACCTCTCTCCACTCTGCCCCTGGCCTCATCGTGTGTCCTTAGGTTTTAATGTTTGATTTTAATTATTTATGCTTGATGCTTTAATTGTATATGTATAGACATATTTTTATGACTATAAGGTGCCCGGAGTTACCCTATGGTAAGATAGAACAGCCAATAAATTTTATAAATCCATAAATAAATAAATAAAATAAACAACTGATGGTCTTCCACGGGTCAACTGCTCTGCCTTCCGCAATGCTATCTCTGCTTGCTCTTCTTTGGAAAAGTAGCATTTGATCCAGTAATTAGAGGGAGAAAAAAGAAGGATATAACTTTATTGCAGGTGGAGAAAAAGTAGGCAGTTGTGTTCTGTTTACTTGTCCTTTTTCGGTTGGTAGGGTGGGAGAAAGCGAATAAGAAGTGAGTGAGCCAAAGAGGATAATCTTTGGAGCAGCACTTCCACCTCTGCCTATTTGCTTGGCCTCTGCCACTGTGTGCTGTGGCAAATTGGATAAGTGGACCAAGTTCTCTCCATCCTGTGTGCATGGATGAAGGGATCAGCTGATTGCCTCTCCAGATTTTTTAGATTAGGTCTTCTAGTCTTCTAATTTTTTAGATTAGGTCTAGATTAGGTCTTCTGGGCTGTTTGATCTAGGATTAGCCTAAACAATCCATTGACCTTCATGGTCCTCAACTTCTCTTGGATGATCACCCAACATTCTATATGCATCTTTGTGGATGGGGGGGAAGGGCTTGTTTTTAACCCTGTGAGAAGTATCTGCTTTTTGTGGTCCTTCAAGGCTTTTGGGAGGTATACCTGATGACTTGAGATTACTGGAAGAGATGAAGCCCAGCTTTTTAACCTTTGTCCCTTAAAGTCTTATAAAAGGGAGAATTTGGCTTAATTTTAACTTCATAAGAGATTCTTTTACTCTTTTCTATTTCTTTTCCAAGGCAGGAGAAAATAAGGACTATTTATGATTAATTCCCTCTCTTCATTTATCCTTCAGGATTAAAAAAAATCATTATTAAGAACCCTATTTCAATTATGAGGTATATGTAGTTTAGCTTTTAGCTGTAAATTTTTGCTTAGAGTTTTGGCTCCTTCCTTCAACTCCCTGATTGCCCGGCTACCCCATTCTTTTTAGTTTCTTCTTTTTCTTTCCTTTTTTTTAATGCTTTTTTCCAGTCTTAAAAATAACACCATTTTCTTTGGAGTTTAATATATAAGATTTTGGCCTCCTTCAAGCACCATGTATTATTTTGCTAAGTTTACTGTCTGTGCCACCCTTTAGTGAATGTTTTGACTATCACAGCAAAACTCTGCATTAACTTAGGATTTTCAAATTAGTATGCATAGTAACATAAGAACTGATCGCTTTACAATTTAATGTCTACCGTGAAGTTTCTATATGACTGTGTCAGCAATTAATTTTAACAAGATTCCCTTGAACTGAGCAAGGAATGAAAATCAATGTTGTTTTAATCTATTAAACCCAACCTGAAACCTTAACAAAATGTTCTTTATATCTCACTAAAGAGCCCATTGCCAATATTCTGTAACTATTATGGGGAAAAAAGTAGCTGAGTGAGTGAGATGGAGTGAAATTTAAAGAATGATGAAAGCCTTTGATAAGGATCTAGTAATGCTAGCTGTATATTCATATTACAGTATGAAAAAAATATTAAGAATTTGATGCATCCAAATTATTTAAATGGCCAACTTACAAAGAACTACAATAAGCACAAAATTATGTTAAGATTTAAGACTTTTGATAAATATTGGAATATGTGTTAACTTTATCAAGAATAAGAGGGCCTTATATACAAAATGTATTTTGCGAATCAGAGAGATTTTTTTCCCCTTTCATTATGTTTATAAAATACTTTCTCTTTAAAAATTATCATTCTTTATAAAATTAAGCTGCAAAATGATAATATGCTGGGCAGAGAATAGCTGATACCTCTAACCATTGCTTCTGATTAGCTCCTTAGCTAAAAACTTCATCAGTACAGGTAGTCCTCGACTTACAACAGTTCGTTTAGTGATCGTTCAAAGTTACAATGGTGCTGAAAAAAGTGACTTATGACCATTTTTCACACTTAAGACCATTGCAGCATCTCCATGGTCACGTGATCAACATTCAGATGCTTGACAGCTGGTTCATATTTATGACGATTGCAGTGTCCTGGGGTCATGTGGTCACCTTTTGCAACTTTCTGACGAGCAAACTCAATGGGGAAGCTTGATTCAGTTAACAACTGTGTTACTAACTTCACAACTGTGATTCACTTAACAATAATGGTCATAAAAGTGGGCAAATTCACTTAACAAATGTTTCGCTTACCAACAGAAATTTTGGGCTCAATTGTGGTCATAAGTCGAGGACTACCTGTATTGAAAACCACCAGTGGCTAACAGGATGTTACTTTTCACACCTATTCAACTCTCTAATATTTAGGAAACCCTTATCTTGGTTTTCAAGACATGCCAAATAAGTTGCTTTCTGACATGGTATCAGCTACAGAGTGGCATTATTTGTTGTCCTGTTTTAAGGGAAGAAAAGAAGACATTGTTTTGTTAAATGAACAAATCCATGCAAATCTTTCAGAAGACCAGACTAGAGTTTACTTTGAAACTTACTGAAGTGAAATAGTCACCTTTGTTTTACTGGGCATTATAGATTACTCATGAAGAACTCAACTGCAAACAAGCTCATTCCATAGGCTCATCACAAACTGAGGGGATCATCCAGTTTGCAGAATAGTGAACATGTAGTTTGTTTTACCTGCAGTTGTAGCTTCTAGATGGTACACACATATTCATAAAGATTTATGAATTATCCTTTAATCTCTTTTCTTACAGTTAAGCTTCACACCTACATTGTGAATTAAATGCGTGTGGCGTGGCCTGCCCTATTCAAATTAGCAAGTACAGAACAATACATTACTCGTTTCATCCACAAATAGGATGTTTTATGAAGTGTCCAGATGTTCACCTTTATTTATGCTACATTGTTTTAATAAAACAGGCAAATGTGGGAGGAAGGCTGTTATAGAGGAATAGAAGAAAAAAACAAGAAATACACAGGAAAATATGAGAATAGATTAATTTCTGACGTTTGTATCATGAAGCACTGATTTTATTGGTCAGACCATCTTTCTATAGGATGGAGGCACAAACCACTTGAGGCACATTTGGGCACAAGCCATGGGTGGGCAGCGGATACAAAGATAATTTGAATGATAAGAGAAATTTGGAATGAGTCTTGTTTTAATTACCCAGAATTCAACATGAACCTTATCTCTTGTTATCATAGATTTGTGTGCTATTTGTTCCTCTAATATAATAATATCTGGCCTGTAATTTGTAAGATAGTTTATAAGATTCTTAAACAAAAGGCAGTGCAGTGCATGATATGTGATGTGTTTCTCAGTTTCAGCCACTTTAAGACGGATGGATCTCAACTCCCAGAATTCTCCAGCCAGCCATGAAGTTCCATCCATGTTAAAGTTGCCACGGTTGAGAAACACTAGTGATTAAGACATTGCAACTCTTCAGTGCAACCTATACAGTAAATCTGGCTGGAGAATTGTGGGAGTTGAAGTCCACCCATCTTAAAGTGACTGAGGTTGAGAAACACTGTATATGTGATTGACAGGATAGGTGGATAGATGCCTTTATATCACTGTTCAGCAGAAAAGATGCCAAAAGAATAGTCATAAGGTGCTGATATAGTTGAAGAAAAAGTTTATCATTGGGAAGGCTGTATCCTTGCAATTCATAAGAGTCAACAATCAGAGATAGTTGTCAACTGTGCAACTGGACAGTGTGTTAAATACCCAGATCTCAAAACATACAGGTAGTCCTTGATTACTACCGATGGCATTGAAATGCAGACTTGTAACCAGTCCTTAAAGGTGTAGTCATCATGCAATCACTATGAGACATTTCACTTTATGATCACATTGCTTAGCAACAGAGCTGATGTTGTAAGTTGAGTGCAGTTGTCAACGCTGCTAACATCGAATGTTCTTGCTTTGACAACAGATGGAAATGCAGCCATTTTCTCTATTGCTTTTAGAATTAGTTGCTGCTGGGAGGGGGAATAGGGATGAGAGTCCAGCTAGTCATAACAATAATAACTTAATTGTGAGAACCCAAAGTCATTGGGCCCAGAGCTGATAGTGTTTTGGCGGGCTGGAGGGCTGGGGAGAAAGCCCGTGCTTCAAGCCAATTGGGGAATGTGATTTATGACTGCTTATTGGAGGAGGGAATTGCACTTTGTTACTTTGTATCCAGGGGAGGGGAATTTAGTTTCTGGTTTCAACTATGTAGTGCCGATACTTTGTTTCTCGAATAAAAGTTTCTTTAAGGTAAACAATGCCTTGAAGTTCTTTTGAAGAGTTTCACCTATCGGAACCATGGCAGCAGTCATGTGATATTGCACTGTACAACCACATTGTTTAGTGACAGACTTGCTGGTCCCAATCGCGGTTGGTAAATGAGAACTACCTGTATGTGTATACGTGTGTGCATGTCTGTGCTTGTGTGTGTGTGTGTGTGTGTGTGTGTATACACACATATTGTACATACAAACTGACAATTGAGATTTGTTTCAGTTTCTGGAGGTTACATGCCTTACCTGAGATTTTTATTTCAATCACATAGGACTGAATCTTAAAACTCCATTCACTTGCTCGTGCTTCCTCTTCATACTTAATATGCGCCTTTCTGCTAAGCCAGTGCTTTTGCTGATAGTAAAGCTCATTTATGCAAGACTGACTAATTACCAACTATCTATTTTTTTCTTTCTTTCTTCTGACCCTTGCAGTGAGCATGCCCACCAGTGAGACAGAATCTGTTAACACCGACAATGTGGCTGGAGGCGATATTGAAGGAGAAAACTGTGGTGCACGACTGGCGTGAGTTTGATTCTGTTTATATTATGCTGGTGTCCTCTTGACTCCAAGAGGGAACCTGGATGATATTAAGGGAAAAAATATATATCAGAACTATCTTTGTCTGAAAGTGTTTCTTCCAAAAAGAATGAAAGTGAATTTGGGGTGATTCACATTTTCTGTCAGACTTTTCCATAGAACATTATAAATGCATCAGAAAATTATTTCTATTACTCTGCACAAAAGCAATATTCCGGTATCCGCTGTCCGACATTTCTTATTTTTTTAAAAAACTGACATTCATATTCATAGAAAGGGATATTAAGAGGAATTTCTCAAGACAGTGTCTTTGCCCAAGCCACAGATTTGATCTGGACAAGACTCCTTTCAGAAATTTCAGACTGCATACAGCAAATTAAAAGGACACTAAAAACTATTTCACTTTTCTCCCTTAAGAATAATAGTACAGCCAATCCTTGACTTACAATAATTTGTTTAGCAACCATTCAAAGTTACAATGGCACTGTAAAAAGAGACTTATGACTGTTCACACTTACGACTGTTGCAGCATCCCCGTGGTCACGTGATCAAAATTCAGATGATTGGCAACTGACTCATATTTATGATGGTTGCAGTGTTCTGGGGTCATGTGATCATTTTTTTTAAACCTCTGATATGCAAAGTCAATGGGGATACCAGATTCATTTAACAACCATATTACTAGCTTAACAACTGCAGTGATTCACTGTGGCAAGAAAGGTAATAAAATGGGACAAAATTCACTTAACAAATGTCTCACTTAGGAACAGAAATTGTCACATGTCGAGAACTACCTGTATCTTCTAAAGAATTATTTTTTAAAAGCATGAATACTAGGAGAAACATAAAAATATATGGGACATACAGGTAGCATAAAGTGTATTTGGTGAAGCATATTTTGTCCAGGATTAAGATTTAGAAATAAATTACTATGTTTCACATTAAATGTTCACCATCCTAAACAACTGAAACAAAGTATAAGCTTTATCCTTCATTTCATATAAAAACATGAAGGTAAGTATAGTTTAGAAACATATATCACATTTTCTATTTAATGCTAGCATAGCACAACCTTGAGCATTTCTCCAACTTAGAAGTGCATAAGTGGCCATCTCTTTGTTTAGGTCTGTTTCTACCAACACAATTGTAATAAAATCAGAGTTTGCTGTGATGGCGCCTCTGTTTAATGCTACTTCTGTAAATCAGACTTTTTAGAAAAACTCAGGCACTCATAGTGATCATACCTTGTGGTTGCACTTCTTGTTGTTTACAGTGTTCTTAATTACTTCGTAATGAGCAGTTTTACACAATCCCTTCAAGTGTTGAAAACCCAGGTGAAAGGGAGGCACAGATGCTGTAATCTCATCTCAGTCTCTCTTCCTTGAATATGCACAGAAGTGGTCCATGCGTTTCTCACTGTGCACTCCTTCCTTGGGATGAGAACCAGGATTGGATGGGGGGGGACTGAATGGATGACGAATTTGGCTGTGGCGAGTTAACTGCAGCAAGATGATTAGGGGACTGGAGGCTAAAGCATATAAGGAACGATTGCTAGAATTGGGTATGTCTAGTTTAATGAAGAGAAGTATGAGGGGGGACATGATAGCAGTGTTCCAATATCTCAGGGGCTGCCACAAAGAAGAGGGTGTCAAGCTATTTTCCAAGGCGCCTCAAGGCAGGACAAGAAGCAATCGGTGGAAACTAATCAAGGAGAGAAGCAACCTAGAACTAAGGAGAAACTTCCTGACAGTTAGAACAATTAACCAGTGGAACAACCTGCCTCCAGAAGCGGTGAATGCTCCAACACTGGAGACTTTTAAGAAGAGACTGGACAGCCATTTGTCCGAAATGGTATAGGGTTTCCTGCCTGAGCAGGGGGTTGGACTAGATGACCTCCAAGGTCCCTTCCAACTTTACTATTATTATTATTATTAAGTTGTCCCATTCCGCAGCAGGAGAGGGATGTCCTTGGATGCTAATTAGTATAAGTGTGTTGATTCCCTTCTTATGGGTAAGAACTGGAGGAGGAATTGGCAAGGTTGAGTGGGGGAAGGATGGTGGGAGCATCAGGGGAGGGGTGCCTTTGCATGAGTGTGGTAGTATAAGGGGGAGGTGGTTACCCTGTTGATGTCGAGAGCTGATAATCTAAAGTTCCTTGGCGTGCGGATCCACAAAAATGTGGATTTTTATATTTTTTTCCCTAATATCTGTTGTTTTTATATCTGTTGTTGTCTCTGCCTGTTGTGTGCCACCCAAAGTCACCTTTGTTTAATTTGATTAATAAATAAAAATAAATAAATAAAATGGTTTGTTATACTTTTAAAACCATCTATCAGTTGCACCAGGGATTTCTGATGCTAGTTACTAGGAAGGGGAAAGGTACAAAATGGATTGAATTAACTCCTTGAAACAAGCATAGTTGTCATTTTTGTGATTTTTATTTTGTCCTGAAATTCCATAGATCTTTTATACATTGTAGGAGGAGAGTTATGTTTGTCTATGACACCCCAAAACCAGGCAGAGTCTGGGATATCCTTTTCAGGATGACATATGTCATTAAAAGTCATAACCTTTCATTCTGATGAAATGAACATATTCTCAAAAGCTTATGTCATTTAATAAAATTTGTTACCTTGAAAAAAATCCATCATATTCCCTTGGACACATCTTTTTAACAGGTTTCAAATAGAAATGAAATTTCACATAGAAATAGAAACTTGGAACAAACTGCAGAAGGTTGTCTGAAAAAATAATAATTGAGAAGGTGACAAAGATCATTTCGTAAAATAAGTAAGAAGAAAGTGTTTATATGCAAAAATATAAACCATGGGAACAGAATTGTATTTTGAAGCCGAAAGCCTGTAATCTCTTCCCAAATGAGATAAAAACTAGCTTACATAAATGCTTTTCATCATGTTTCAAAATAGTATTTTTCAGTGACCCAGAGGTCAGTAAGAAAGCAAGATTTTCCCATGCACAGATCTATGCAGTGTCTGGAGAGGCATCTGCCTTATTATACAATCACTTGATTATTACAGTATATATGAACTGGGCCACAATTTTGGAGCATTGCTATGTTAGGGGTTATTTTCAGATCCCAGGAATTAGACTGAAATAACCTTCAAATCAACCTAATTAATTCATCTGTTCTACATAGTTTAAATTACGTGCAGTCTACTATGCTACAGAGATGCTCAGCTATGTCTTTTGCTAAAATCTTGTTTGAGAATAATATATAATTTCAGTATCAGAACTAAAAAAAAACGCTCACCAAGCTCAACATGACTAGTACTACTTCAATAACAGTTTGTCAGGAATTGTAATTTGCAAAGCTTTCTTTCTTTCTGGGAAACCTGGGGTAGGTGGGATGGGAGGGAAGATTCACAAACGCTATGTCTTGAAAAGCTTATCAATAATGGAACTACTCTGTCAGAAGTAATCACCATAATATAGGATATTTTCCTGGACAATTGATTTGGTGCTTTTCTATCTGATGGGAGAAGTCCTACTGAGATTCTCTCTGACCAGACCAGAGCCTAAAGCTGGCAGTAGATAACTTTAAAGGACAGCTTGGATTGTCAAGCTTAACAGCACCTTGATCAAAGAAAGTATTGTGTTTCTTTGGATCCCACTTGATTTTCAAATCAAAGCCACATGCACATGTCACATGCACCTGATCTGAAAAAGGGTAGCGGTGGACTCTTTTTATAAACCATGCTGTTAGATCATTGTTTGGGGAAATAAAACCCTAAGGCTGTATTTACCACATTTCGATATTAGTAAAACAATGCACATTGTGCTGTGAAAAGAAGAGCTTGCTAAGGTGATTCGATCCAGAGTCTAGAATGATTTAAAAGCACTACTGCTTTTCGAAGACTGAACCAATTGGGGGAAATATTGACAATGTTAAGATCATCCATTTCAATTTTGTATGTAAAAAGATCCAAATACATGCAGTTGAAATCGAAGAAAATTACATCAGTTCATTTATTTGGGAAATAATCAATGTAAACTAAATGAGTTATGTTCATGGTGAGCAAATTCTGGCTTCTAAAATAAATACGCTTTTATTTTTTAGAGTGAAAAGGACTCCTGACTAATTCTGTTTTGTTGTTTAACATAATTGATTGCATTTAACTTTATGGATCTCAGAATATCACTTGCTGGATTAGAAGGAAAATTAATGAGAAATTAGTTCTCAGATTTCATCTCCTTATAGGGTATTGATAATAGTAATGGCTTTTATGAAGTATTCACTATACTGTAGGTTTGGTCTAGTTATTTTATTTTAATATTTTAATTCTGGCATACAGAGCATTCCTAGCATGTATTCACTAACCCCCACATCATTTTAATAATTAAGTAAAAGCACCTAAACTGCTGCATAACCAAGATTTCTGCAATTTTGTGTGAGATTTTACAAAACATTGGCCTTTTAAAAAGGCATTTATTTTTTAACTAATTTTTAAATGAATGATACTGAACACAATAGTGCAATGGTGCCTGCTGACATAAAAGATTGCTAATCCCTGCTATTCAATATAAAAATTTCAAGGACTTGCAGAGACCAAAAGTCCTCTGTTTACAAATTGATAAGCTCCTTTTTTTTTAAAAAAAAAAAAGCATAATCTTTGAGATGCATTGGGACTTTTTTGGATTCTCCAAGACATCATGTCCTTTAACTCTTCCCCACCCCATTTGGACCACCAACCAAACCTGTGGTGTGAAACAAATTATGGATTGTTCTCATAACCATAGAATTATTAGGAATCAGCATAACAATACTCTGATTGTGTATTTGCTTACTTTTTAATCAAATATGAAGACCCTCCACAGATGACCAGATAAAAAGGACTAGGGCTAGGCAAAGCTTTGGATTCAATTGGTAGCCTCCCAGTCCCAGGAAAATATGTTTCTTGTGTGGCCACATACTCCAAAAGCAGTTATTTCTGAGGAGTGCACAAACCATTCTAATTGAACTAAAA